CTTCGAACGCGTATTACAGCAATATGGATAAGAGCACAGGAATTGCTCACTGCTAATAATATTCGCGCCTCCCCTTAGACTAGTTCATGCCTCCCCAGGGTGGCGTGCCTCACAGTTTGGAAAACGCTGGCATAGAACATAGAAGGAATGAGATCAACCAGAAGAATTGCCCACACGAGGTGAATTATGACGGGCAACGAAAGTATCTACAGGAAATCGAACCCGATGTCACCTGCATCCACTTTCAAAGCGCTTTCTTTCGCCACGATTCGAACAATAACAATGCAATTCATGTTGTTTTTCAATTATTCACGATTTTCACATATCTCACGACACGGCTGATCCTCCTTTCATTATACTCTCTTTTCAAACCGTTTGATTTGCATTCAAGTGTTTTCTACACCAAAACGTGTCATCATTATCTACTTAGTTCAAATTGAAATCAAGTGGAGAAATACAAGGTAAAAGCATGTACAATTTAAGATGAAATTGTTATAAAGAAAGATGATGTAACAGAATTTTCACTTTACTGTCTCAAATCATCGAGATGGCCACACCCTCCGTTACGGAATCGGCGCTTTTACTTTCAACTTTGACCGGGGCTGGGAAAGCCGCGCCTGCAGACGACGTCGCGTTACGGATTTCAAGTTATTAAATCGAGAAGTAGAGAGAGAGAGATACGCAAAGAGTTACGTAATTCGCGATGGTCCACAAGACCAGTAACCGGTAAATGAAGCAGATTGTTTGCATCACGTAACTTGAAATCGGCAGTATAGGATCCAGGCGGAGTAGTTCCAAGGTTCTGACATCGTTCGCGGCTGCAATTAAAGTTACACGATTGCCCAACGTCTTCTAAATGCGTATCCCGTTAATGGTCTGAAACATTAAATGTTCACCCAGATGAGGCGAAACGAAAGTGCTCTCAGCGACATTCTAATTTCTTCTTCTTGATATGTCATTACTTCAGTGTTGACATGTATTTTGTACTTTCGAGTTTCGGCTTTAAATTGAGTAATTTGATAAAATCTTTGCCTCAGGTTAACTTTGATTACAATTTAAAATTGTTACAATTAAACATGTCCAACAATCTCATTTGAATCTCTAATAGTTTTCTTGTAATTTCATAAAATGTTACATGATAATTTAACTATTAATTGGATTAGAACTAAAACTGTTACAATTAAACTATTAATTATTTTGTGTAGATTATAGTTGTTTCCTAGTTTTCTAGTAATTATAAAAAATGTCATAACATTGCTTTATCGATCTTCAATATTTCATAACGTCAAGTTCAACAGTGAAATACATTATGAATGCAATAATACTCCACACCTTAGAGTTTCGAGTTAAATTTGCATTTTCATTATCATTTGAATCTTTTGTACTTTCCTAGTAATTCGACACAATGTAACGAATTAACAAAATCAAATATGTCATTTGTCAAATTTGACAGTAAGTTACATAAGTATATCATTACTTCAAAATACACAATGATAAATAAACTATAGCATCTTTTCTCAACAAAAATGTCGTGTAAATCACATACTTTGATCCAAGTTTGTCACCTTAAATAGTTCAAAAACTGAAGCATTTGGTATGAGCATTCCTTCCACATTCCATCGACATTAATAGGCTTTGATCTAAGTTTGTCACCTTAACTAGTTCAAAAACTGAAGTACTAAATTTCACTGTCATTTCTTGACGTTTAGACTCATCTACTTTCTAGTTTCAGGCTGAAATTGCCAAATTAAATTTGATCTTGAAACTTCTTTACTTTTATTGAAGTAAAATTAAAAAAAAAACTGTTGGATTTTCAAAAAAGTTCGTTGACATTGCATTCGGAATTAAAATTCCGATCAGGTCCATTTAAATATTACGTCTAGGAATTAGGAATACGTGGGTGAATGCGACGACGTGCCGATTCCTTGAGTATTTCTTCATTTTCGATAATCGTGTTATGTTTTTTTTCTTTTTCTTCTGATGATGTTGTTTGTTGTTGTTGTTGAATTTTTTTTAACTCCTTCCGCGAACTCTGCGGTTTCCCACACATCTCTTCGCCTCGGTAGATCGCGATCCACTTGTGCAACGAGTAAACCGAAAGTTCAGGGTCGCAGAAAATCTCCGCTCTACTTTCTCTTGAAAATCCCAAGACCGTTTCGAATCCCGGAGGAGCTGCTACCGCTCAAATTCGCATCCGTTTCATCGTGCAAAATAAACAAAAGATTTTGTATAATGTGCAGCCGACCAATTGGAATGTCTCCGCACATCGAAAATAACTGTTTCGCCATTGGATTACTCATGAATAGTTTGGCGTAAACATTGGAGGAAGATGGAATAAAAAAAAACTGGGGAGTAGTAAGAGGATCGTCCTTGATGGCATCGCGTTATGTAATTAAACTAAAGGAAATATACGGCACCTGAACGTTGCGATGCTCTCAAGGAAGCGGAGAGACGTAGATGCACTTTGCCATTTAGAGAGCTCTAGGAATGTGCCCTTAAAGACGCACATTTTATGGTCGTGAATTGCGGGCAATCGGAGCGAACCATCCGATCGCAATCCATATACACGCAAATGAATGGATCCAAGGCTTCGTCGGATCGGTACGTTTCTGTTGTTTGTTGTTGTTGTTGACAGGATAAGGATGAAACTATGCTAGATTGGTGACGATTACTGAGAATTGGCAACGCAATTTTCACTGATTAAATTAATAACCGTTAAAGGAGGTTAAACGTACATTTTTCCTCAACAGAAAAGAACTGTAAATCACAGAGTTTTTACTATTTTGATCTAAGTTTGTCACTTTAATCAGTTACCAAAATCATTATATTAAACGTCAAAAAAAATCGTCAAGATTAAACCCAATTACGTTTTTAATTTTTTATTTTTTGCAATCTTCTAATTAACTTAAGTTTATATTTTTTTTATTCAGATACTGAATAGTTGGTAGTTCATAATCTGAAATATATTGTTATTGACATTTGACGTTTAAATGTCAAGAACTGTCAATTTTTTGACAGAGGAAATTTAAACGTTATTGTTGCCTTATAAGGAGACTAATTAATACTAATTAACACTAATTAACTTTAGTTTATATTTTTTTTATTCAGATATTGAATAGTTGGAAGTTCATAATCTGAAATATCCTGTTATTGACATTTGACGTTTAAATGTCAAGAAATGTCAAATTTTTTGACAGTGGAAATTTAAACGTTGTTGTTGCCTTATAAGGAGACTAATTAATACTAATTAACTTTAGTTTATATTTTTTTTATTCAGATATTGAATAGTTAGTTGGTAGTTCATAATCTGAAATATCCTGTTATTGACATTTGACGTTTAAATGTCAAGAACTGTCAATTTTTTGACAGTGGAAATATAAACATTATTGTTGCCTTATAAGGAGACTAATTAATACTAATTAATCGACGTTTTCTAAAGGTATCTTCATCAAATATATAAATTATTTTTACTTGAATAAAGTAAAAGTAAAATTGAAATCAGCTGCAAGATTTATCTTACGTAAATTCAAAATTTAATTACTTTAAATGAAATAGTTTCGACGAATTGTCATTTTATAAGAAAAATCTCTTTTGAAACTTTCTTAAATCAAAAACGAATTTCGCAATCAATTATGAAGCACAAAGAGACGTTTTATAACAGGATATAATAATTCGTAAGTGGCTGCAGCCGCAATTAACACTGATTAATTTAAACGCGCGCGTTGCGTAATTTATCCAATAACGATGAAGAAGAAGGTAAAAATAAACGATGCATTCGCCAGCACCAAAAGCCGCTGTTACGTAATTGGAATGAAAACCTTTGATGCACAAATTGTGGTGAATAGAAATACGTTATATAATATATTATATAAAGGGCACGTTACTGTCTGAAATTACGTAATTAATAGATTTAGTAAAAGAAAATGTAATGGATATATTTAGAAATGAATGCTGAAAGTAATAGATAAAAAAAACTTGTTACTCGAATGAATGACACGAGGAACTTTCATAACAGGAATTGAAGGAAAAAAAGCTGCATACGATTTGCGCCTTTGCAGGAAGTAGACTGGATTCGGTAAGCGGAAATCTTGTCGCAGTTTGTTGCTAACCGGAGGTGTTAAATGGTAATAATAATAGAAAGAAAAGTTGGTGAAGGAAGAGTCTTGATTTATCGCAATTCCTTCCCTTTCCCGTTTCTCTACGCGTAACGTAAATTTGAATACTGATATAACCGGAGGAATAATTCCTCCGTACGTTATGAAAGTTCGTAAATGTTTAAATGAATTAAATGCAAATGAGCAGCGAATTGCATTTGGTATGAGCATTCCTTCCACATTCCATCGACATTAATAG